GGCCATTTATTCATGTCTCCTTAGTGGAATAAAATCAGGGATGGGGTTGTGGTTGTGGGGGTTTGTGTTTTGGTTCCTAGTGGTTGTATCCTGGGTTTTGTGGTTATTATTTAGGTAAAAATGGGAGTTGTTTTTGGCTAATAAAAAAGGGCAGGGATGGGGGCTATAATGTGTGGTTTTGGACTTATAGGTTTGGGTTATTTGTAAGGAAACATGGGCAGGAAATATGGCTGGTGGTGGGTCATGGTTTTTGGCTCTTTGTTGATGTTGTGTTGGGATTGTGAGGGATATCTGGCCGGGATTTAGAGGAAGGGAGAGAAGGTTTTATTTGTTTATTAAAAGGCTTAAAAGAAGGAAAATAACACAAACAAAAGATTTTGGTTTGTACACTCTTATTTTTCGGCCAGGGGCTAAAATAAGAGTAACAAAAACTTTATTTTGAAATGAATTAAATGGAAAGGGGATTTGGATATTTAGGGTTGGGTTGGACGGAGTGGGAGTCGGTTTGTGGAACCCTTTGGCCCAAAGTTATTCTGGCCACTCGGGTTGAAGGACTCGGAATTCTCACTAAAACGGATCATAATGTTTGAACGTGCATCCTTTGGTCTTTGCAAGGGTGTGGGACATGGGGGAGGGTATGATAGGGCCAGGCCCAGATATAACATCCTCCCGGTCTTCAAAAGAGTTTGTTCGCAAACTCGGAAGATCTTCAAAATTCTCAAACGGGCTAAGATCTCTTCGATGAAATGTGGCAGCAACTTTTAGACCTCGTGTAAGATCGACCACGTAGGAGTTTTTGTGAACCCTTGCCAACACTTCAAACGGGCCATCGTCTTGGGGTTGTAGCTTTGATTTGCGTTTATTGAATAGACGCGCCTTATGAACGTGAACCCATACTAGGTCGCCGGGCTGAATGGACCATTTCAAGTCATGACTCTTCTCAACCTTCTTTTCATACAGGACCTGCAAAAACTCAACACGTTTGGTACGAAGTACCGTTAACGAAGATAGGCCTCGAGCGGAGGTTTCCGCGTCAGGAGTGGCGACTTCTTCGTGGGTCTTCTCTTCTTGCTCTTCTTTTTTTATCTCTGTAACCCAAAACGGGTTATCCTCTGCGTCTTCAAACACTTCTTCATTCTCTTCGAGAAGTTCTTCATCATAGTCCTCGTCATAATATTCATCCCAAATGATCTTTGGAGTAGTGGGCTGGTGGAGATGGTCTTTGGAAGAAAATCTCTTAATTAAGAGTTTTCTTAACTTTTCCCAAGTTCTCACCTTCGCTTTTCCTTGGAGCTTTCGTTTTGAAGCAACGCTAGCCCACCAAGTAGAGGCTTGTCTTTGAAACTTTGCCACCACTAGCTTGACCTTCTTGTCTTCGGGCACGTCTTTTAGTGTAAATACGTCTTCAACTTTTGCTAGCCACTTTGAGAACTTCTCCGGGTCGTTTCTTCCCTCAAACGTGGGAATCTCCACTGAATTAGTGAGCTCCTTGATTTGTTTCATCACAAGCTCAACTTCCTTCTTTAGTGTCTCCTGGGCAGCAGCTAATTCCCCTCGAAACATGTTTTGAGAAGAGCTTGGCATGGTGGATATATTGCTTGAAGAGTGTATGGTTGACAAAAGAGATGAGGGAGGCGTGTAAAGATGATCCCTTAGGGATGTTCAACACAAAGCTTTGATACCAAATGTTATACCCGAACCGGGGGTCTAAACGAGTTGCTATTTTGATGAGGAATCAAGGAATGATTCAGCCTTGAGTTCAGGATTCTGGAGCAGGTGATAATCGATTTACACGAAGTGACAATCAACTATTGAAGGCTGCAGAATTTCTGGGGAAGCTGATAGTCGATTATCTGGAAAGGATAATCGATTATTGATCCCTGCAGGTGTTTCCAATGGGACTGATAATCGATTGCGGGGAATGATAATCGATTATTTAGTAGAATTCTGGGCAGGAAGAAGGGTGTTTTTGTGGGGGAATGGACCGGAAATATATGGAGATGATGAGGGAGTTCTTTTGGGTATTTTAATTGGAAGAAAAGAGTGAGATTAAGAGGAGAAATGGGGAGGTATGAAATGGGAGAAAATCAGGGATGGATAAACCAAGTTGGTATTTAAGAGATATTACACACTCTTATCCTAACTTGGGGTTTGAATCTAGAATTTAATTAAGATATAACACACT